CGTTGTAGGTGCACAGTTGACTAGTTGACCCGGTAACGTTAGAGTCGTACCATAGACTAATTCGGCGGGTGTACAACCTATGTCTTCCTTCACCGTGGCACGAATCCCAAGGAGAACAAGCGGCAAGGCATCACTCCATTTTGTTGAATCAGTTTGAGCCATGAGTGAGCTTTTTAATTGCCGGTGAAATCTTTCAATCATGCCGTTTGCTGCTGGGTGGTAAGCTGTGGTTCTGATGTGTTTTACACCCAGAAGTCTTGTGAATTCCTGAAACAGGATAGACTGAAACTGGGGACCACGATCAGTTGTGATGGTTGTCGGTACACCGTAGTGCGATATCCATCGGTCTAGAAAAACGGATGCTACAGTCTCAGCTGATATGTCTTTGATGGGGCATGCAATGGCCCATCGAGTGAATCTGTCTATTGCCGTGAGGATGTGAGTAAAAGAATTTGACGGAGGTAGAGGTCCTACTAAATCTAAATGGATATGCTGAAAACGTCTATCAGGAATAGGAAATTTTCCGATTGGACTAATAGTATGCTTTTGGATCTTACTACGTTGACACTGAAGGCAACCACGTGTCCAACGTTTAATATCTGAATTGATTTTCGGCCAAACAAAACGTTCAGTTATCAGCTTTGTAGTAGCTCGGATGCCCGGATGTGATAAACCATGCAAGTGTTGGAATAACTTTTGGCGACATGCAAGTGGAACAAAGGGACGATTGTTACCTGTTGATGTGTCACAGATGATGGATGCGTCGGAGAATGGGATGGGTACAGGTTGGAGATTCAGGCGAGACTTTTCTTTGCAGGTTTTTAGCTCTGCATCGTCTGCTTGAAGTTTTGCGATTATTTCTAGGTTGACGTCATGGTTGGATGCAACTACATTGATGTCTTTTCTCGATAACGCATCTGCTACAATGTTGGAGTGACCTTTGATAAACTGAATGTCTGTGGTGAATTGTGAGATGTAATCAAGCTGTCTTGCTTCGCGTGGTGAATGTCTGTCATACGACATACTAAAGGAGTAGCACAGGGGTTTGTGATCCGTCATGATGATAAAATCCCGGCCCTGTAGCAAAAAATTGAAGTGTTTAACGGCTAAATACATGGCTAAGAGTTCACGACCGAATGTACTATAACGCTCTTGTACAGGTGATAACCTTTTAGAGAAGAAAGCAATGGGTGTAATCGTATTGTTTACTTGTTGTTGTAATACTGCTCCTACGGCTTTTTGTGATGCGTCCGTACAGAGGATCAGATGAGTTTTGGGGTCAGTATTTAGATGTTGTAGCATGGTGGCGTCAGCAATCAAAGATTTGGCTTTTTCAAATGCCGTTTTGGCATCGGAAGGTAACTTGAATGGTTGATTCTTTTCCTTTTTGCTACCTGATTTATCGTTTTTTAGTAAGTCAGTTAACGGTTGTAGAACGTCGGCACAGTTAGGTAAAAATCGACGGTAAAAATTGAATGCACCCAGGAAGCGACGTAATGACTTAACCGAAGTGGGTTCAGGATAGTTGATGACGGCTTCAACTCTCTTTGGTAGAGGTTTAATACCTTGTGCATCAATATAGTGTCCTAAGAATTCTAGGGCAGACGTACCGAATATGCATTTAGTAGGGTTGATAACTACGCCATATTTCTTGAATCGTTCAAAGAGAATCTGCAGATGATGGACATGTTCTTCAAGTGAGGAGCTGGCAATTAGGACGTCATCGATGTAAACAAATACGAAATCTAAACCTCGCGTGACTTCATCCATAAATCGTTGGAATGTTTGCGCAGCATTCTTAAGCCCAAATGGCATCCTCAAGAATTCAAACAACCCAAAAGGTGTGATTACGGCTGTTTTTTCGATATCCTCAGGTGCCATCGGTATTTGATGGTATGCTCGAACAAGATCTAACTTTGAAAAAATCTGTTTTCCATGTAGATTTAACGAAAAATCATGTAGATGAGGGATCGGATACCTGTCTGGGATCGTCTGGTTATTCAATCTGCGATAATCTCCACATGGGCGCCAGTCCTGATCTTTCTTGGGGACCATATGCAGCGGCGAGGCCCAAGGACTGTTAGATTGTCTGATTATTCCAAGTTGCATCATGTGTTCGAATTCTCTCTTAGCGAACTGCAACTTGTTTGGAGGGAGTCTTCTCGCCCTGGCGCGGGTGGGTGGTCCGGTGGTAGTGATATGGTGTTGCACCAGCTGTGGGTTACCCTCCTTTTGGTAATCTGCTTTCGTAATGCACTGGTATTCTGTTAGAATGTCGTTGAAGATGTTGTTCACAGGTTTCATTATTCGAACACCGTGGATCTCGTTGTCATTGGAGAGCGCAACATTTACCTGTAAACGTGTGTTTACGTCGATTAGTCTCTTGTTGGTCATATCTACTAACAGGTTGTACGCACTAAGAAAATCAGCCCCGAGGATGGGTCGTTTGACTTGGGCAACTATGAATACCCATGTGAATCTTCTGCGGAGCCCGAGGTCTAATATAAGAGATTGTTCTCCGTAAGTTTTGATAACTGATTCGTTAGCCGCTATTAAGGACAATGTAGTGCTTGTTGTCTGTTGTCTGCGGGAGAGATGGAGTGGGATGATGCTGATTTCTGCTCCAGTATCGACTAAAAAGTCCGAGCCAGAAATGCGATCCCTGACGTGAAATAGGCGGCTAACATGTTGGCCAGTAGCAGCTGCCGCCGTTACTGTCTGGCCGCTTCGTTTCCCTGATAGATTGGGTTGTTTGTCTTAAAGGTGCACGGTTTTGTGCAACAACGTGCTTTCTCACCATACTTCGAATGATACCAACACATTCCGGCTGCCCGCTTAGGTGACCTAAGACGATGTCTGGATACTGATCTCCTTCTGGACGTAGATCTGGGAGGTCGAGAATGGATGGTGGCAACAGTCGCCTGCAGTGATGCTAGCTGCTGTGTTAACAGTGTTATTTGTTGTTGGATGTTGAGTGCGTCGCTCATGTTTTCTGCATTTGAGGATTGTATCGCGCTAACGCCGTGACTATCAGAATATATTTCTATCATCTTATCAGCCATGTCTGCTAAATCATCAAGACTGACAGAGGCTCCTGATATGCTGAGGATTTGTCTGACGTTATATGGTAACCTTTGTAACCATATCTGCTTAAGTAATGCTTCGTCTAACTTGTAAGGGCCTGATAGTTGTCTCATATGTCTAAGCAACTGTGAAGGTCTTTTGTCCCCTAACTCGCATGCGGTGAGTAGTTGCTGCAAGCGTTTTTCATCAGACTGCGAAGTACGGTGGATCACTGCAGCTTTTATTTTGTAATAGGGGTCCGTTTCTGGTACGTTGTCTATCAGGTCACTGACTTCCGTTGCAACATCTATAGGTAGTGCCCCGACGATGTGGGCATATTTAGTCGCTTGTGAACGTATGCCCCTCGCCAAAAATAGTGCCTCAACTTGTGCAAACCAGATTCTGGGATTATTAACACCATATGTTGGTAATCTCAGTTCAGAAATAGTGTTGATTGAGTTTAAAACATTATCTTCTGGCGGTGGTGAATGAAAGGGGTTGGTTAATGAGCTATCAATATCGATAAGTTTATTAGGGGAGTCCATAATGTCAAAAACAAAAAATGGGGTCGTGCCAATTAATAAGAATACTAAATTATGCAGCTATATATAGTAAATGTCTATAAAAAGATAATCGAGGCTCACCAGATAATTGTGGCGGACCAAAATGTTTGATAACCAGAAAATTAGCAACAAAAATATTATGTCTATAGTTTATGTAACAATTAACAGTTAACAAGTAATTACACACACACAAATAACAAAATAAGGGACGTTACTTAAGTCTTCAGGCTATTGCGTGTTTGGCTGGGTTTGGTCCAGATACTCCACAATTATAACAAAATTATTAATCCCAATATGGACGATATAGATCCAGTAATTTTACCAAGCGTAGAATCCAATAAGAATGTCGCAATTGTCTATAAACGTAGATGGTATGCAATTAATATTTCATTCAACATATTAGCAGACAGGGCAGAACGATGCAGATGTGAATTAGAGTGTATTTGCTGAGGAGAATTAACAGTGGCACGGTATGTTGTAATCACAACGGAAGGAAGGTGTGTTACAAGCGTTCAAAGTAATACAGTTAAACAACAAGTACAATTGTTTAATGCTTAATGTACAGAATATGAAAATACATGCGAAAACTATGAAAAATTATTTACAAAATAGGTTTTAAGGTTCTATCTCCACAGATGCATGACCGAGCGCCTTCAGCTAAGTGAGTCCATTAAAATTAACGTGGTCAGCATCCAATGTCAAACACTTACAGAGCTATTGATTTTGGGGATCTATTTATCACTAAAACGTCATATGGTTGATGGTTACAATTGGACGAGTCAGTGTAAACAATGATGGGACTTGTACGTCAGATTTTATAAAATATGTGGGATTAGGTGTATTACTATAGTGCTAATACCGGATTAGACCGTAATTTTACAATTGTATCATATACGGCCGAGGCGGAAATTCCTTGTTGAAAACAGTTTGTGATAATTATGTTATGTTCAGCATGTATGGAATAAAGCAGCGAAATTTCTATGTGATTGCACACCAAATGATGGATCTCTTGTAGGTGTTTATTATCTATTTCTAACATCAAAGATGGCAGAAATTTAAGGATTTATCATCAAACTGTTGAGGTATAGAGTCCCGTTCGTCCCAGTGGGTCGTAAGTTACTGGAGTTACTGAGTTCAATTGGTACTGAGTATGCCTTTCGCCTTAACAATGAGGATAACAAATGATCTTCATATGACTGGAAGTGCTGATGAAGACCATTCGACGAAGCATGGTGGACCGAGACATAAACCTTCATCAAAATACGAATCTTTTATTGATCATTTAGAAACCGGCAGAAAAACTGTTAGAATAAATTAGCTATACACAAGGATGAATAATATCCGATAAAATCCAATTTATTAAACTCGTAATTTGTTATACTCGCCTACGTAGTACGTTGCCAAGCTATGTAATTTTGCTAGTTTTCGACATGCAATGCAACACGGTTGGATACAAATTACCATTGATTTGAAATTATTAATTGATTGATCGGGTCAATACAATTACAGCTAGTTAGAAATTAACTGAGCTAGTTATTTATAAGCATTTTGTCGGAGGATTCACTCCAACAGTGATTCCATTAAACTGTTAGAGATGCTCATTACAGTCCAGTAGATTTTGATAAATAGTGCCATTTATTTAAAACGATAGGTATAAAAGAGTTAAATACTGTTTATTTCTTGTCGCATACCACAAAATAATTCCATATGTTTTCAGGAAATGCCTCGAGTTCGACGATGTACATATTCACATGAACTTAAACTTCCCAACATTAGGTAAAAATTGATCAGGTGTGAGATAGTTCTACTCACAATCACAGGTTGATTTCGAGGCAAAATTCACCAAGATATGGAAAATTTCTTGAACACTTCCACTTGCTTCTGAAAAATGGTAGGAATCATTACTTGAAAACCTCAAACGTTTTTCTGGTTTAAAGATATTTCCCAGGAATTACTCTAAGTTTGACTTGGCCTAGAATTTCAGTGCATTATTTTCTCTGATCTCGCAGACGCTATGGTTTTTCTACATAAAATCGGAATAAATAAACTACTTTGAGGATTTTTCCTGTAATATCGCATAATAGAAGTTGATAATTGGGAAAGAGACCACATTCTCTATTAAACTCGGTCTTCGTAGAAGCTTCACTGTTTACTATATTTACTGTACTCAAAACTAGTTTCTTCTTGAAAGACATTCATTACTTGATATTGCCATCAAAACTGTTTTGTTGAACAAACTTATACCCCCAAGGTACTAAGCGTCATACATGTATGCTTTCTCTTAAACACTTCCCATATCTTACATCTTGATTGTTATTTTCGTGTTATAAACGAAAGTTTCGATCAAAATAAATGAGTAAGTTGTACAAGCAAGTAACGGTTTAGAGACTGAATATTCATGAATGATGTCCGCTTGAGCCCACGGTATTACGAAACAGAACTCTCAAGTGAAGACGTTAGTCACTGTTATCAAGAAGTATGATATATATATATATATATATATATATATATATATATATTCATGACGTTAGATTGAAGTATAAATGATTTTCAAATGTTCTATGCATTTAACTGAAAATGAAATGAGCTTTAGTAAATTTTGTTTTTAGGGAAGGTTATAAAATCGGTGATTACTGATCTCGACCTAGTTCTTTGTTCCATCCAATTCTTATTGAATTGATAGTCGGGATGACAGAGTGTAGGCAAGCACCGATTTTGTGGATTTATGAGGATCATCTCTGCGTACCTACGGCAGTTTGTTCACCTGAAGTGTAATAAAACAACAACTTCAACGTACGAAATGAACATTCGATTTATTATTCGCCAATGTAGACTCCAAAACATCTGGCTCCTCATCTGTGAAAACTGAAAAGTCAATGACCATGAGCAGATGCCATATGTTATTCCTTACTTAACGTTGATGGAATGCTTCCTTAGGCATGCCTTCAACTTGTGTAGACTGTCAGGCAATTACCTACTTATGTTTGCCAAAGCGTTGACACCTCATGTATACATATATATGTTAATACATTTTGCTCGTGGGATACAGTACGTAGTGTTGGATTTACAGTAGACCAGTCAAATGGTGTAGCGAATTCCATTTGGGAAGAGCTGATGCGTAAAAATTAAATAAATGAGTTAATACCTGGAAGTTGGCGAGTTGTCCAGGGAAATATCGACCTCCGGCTAGTTTACTGGACTACAGCTGTCATTCATTTCATTTGCCTCTATTTCTTCAGAGGAATATTGTTTTTCGGTTTGCCGACAATTGTGTTTATTGCGTACAACCACCAATATCTCTTTTCGGTTTCTTCAAGTGCCATGATAGCGTTCATCCAGGTAAACTATTTTCGTGTTGACATTGAAACAATTTGACAATGCCAAATCAAAGTTTAACGTAGTAACTATATTTGGTATAATCACACCATAACACGACACTGAATAACTTTGTCTCTCAGAAAGGTTAATTCCTCCTATTAATCTATGCGATCCTGAATTCGCTGATTTCTTGCATTTCTCTTGAATGTAAATAACTATGTATTCAGTAACTAATCCCGTGGAACAAAATGAGATTGTCTCTTCTTAATATATATATATATATATATATATATATATATATATATATATATATATATATATATAACTGCCTCAGTTGTATCGAACATAATGAAGCGTAATGGTTGTGACCTCGCATAATGCAAGATCAATTTATGAGTTGTCTTTTCTTAGTGGCATTTGCTGCAAATTGGCTAACTGCCTAAATATAAGTGTCGATTTGTTTCATTTTCTTTATCTTTGTTCTTATAAACGAATAGGCCAGTTGTATAGCTACCTTTTTTATTTACTTAGCATTTATAATGTCCACAGATGTTTCCTCAGGATACGATCATTTAGAATGCGAATCTGTTGTATCTACAGACGCTTCTATCAGAACAGATAATCTAACAGTTGAAAGACATGCATCAAATCTGACAAATTCATATGATAAAATGAAACACCCAGGATTAACACCTTCAATAACGGCTTATCGATGGATTACATCGCAACCAAGCTTGCCAAAAGGAGTATTTAGTAAAATTGAATCTGAAACTATAGCACAATGGCTAAGTGTTGGTACAACAGATGATTGGTTAAGACATATCCCGAAATGTTCGATAGGCAGATATGATAAAAATTCTTTGAAAAATTGGAAAGCTGATTATCTAAAACAACCACATTCATCTGATAAAGACAGATTTATTACATTATATTCAATTAGTTATGAAGCCAAGCAGTTGGATGAGCAAACTAAGATTAGGCCTACATCTACTAATCGCCGAAATAAGCCACAACTGTCAAGGTAGATTATTTCAAGTCATTATTTAAAATGAATTTTGTTTTTATCAGCCACTAATCGTTTACTTCAATGTGATGACTTGTGAAAAATAATTTTTCAAAAAACCATGCACTTTAAAAAAGATTAACTTTATTGAAATAATTAACTGAACAATGTTTGACCAACAGTGAAAACCTGGAAGTAATGGCATTTGCGCAAGACCGGAGGTCCTGAGTTCGAATCCCGTGTTCAAGATCGTGGTTGCTCACAGATGAAGAGTCCTATACTCGGGAGCCAAGTACTTCCAAGTACTCAACGATGGTCTTACATTCAATGGTTTATAGCGTCTATCCTACAACCAATATCGATTATGGTTAATTTTGGTGAAGCCCTTTTACTAACTCACTTAGCAGACAATGCTATTTGAACAGTAACAATTCGCATATTTCTTTGTACTGTAATGATTACTAGAGCACATGACAGACTCTAGTGAAAATGTTGATTGCTTAAATGTCACTCTACGATTCATCTTCCTTTCCAGATATGTATGTACTCAAATCCTATTATTAAATTTTGCTTTGCATTGCTGCACCCTTATGGAATTTGACTACATATTTGCTCGTACATACTTATTCGCCTCTCTGCACCAAATTCGTTTGATATGCTTCTAACTTCGTGGTCCGCGCTGTTCGCTAATAAACTGTAGTTGCCTCTTCTCTTAGCCTTTTGATTTTAAACACCGTTGAGATTTATGTTATAACGGTTATCGAGGTGAGCGGTTAGCGAAGCAAAGTCACTACAGGTTTATGATCCCAATGAAATTCAATAATATCTACAACCCCATACTGAAAATTAACTAAATTCAGACCATAAAATATAGAGTATTGTATGCCTCAAAAGGGTTTATTAGAAGAAACAATTGATGAAAAATTATGTTGTTTATGGATATTGTTGTTGACAAACGACAATTAAATGTTATGGTGAAAGTTATATACATATATAGTCTTCAACCTTAAAAATTGAATTAAAAAATATCTCTTAGCCAAACCATCCTGTTGTTTAAATTTCTCAACAGGCACTTACCATTTATGTTTTTATTTTGCAATTGGTTTCACAACTGGAATTTTATTTGACATCGACTATGTAGATGGAGCATCAAATACACTTGAAAACCCACTTAAACTACGCCCATTTATATTAAATACCTTAGATGCGACAATATTGAACGGAAAATATCCTAGATGAAAGACTTCTAAATATGATGACAACTACCAGTTTGAATCAGGATGTACGTCTTCAAAGTAAGTTTCCATATAGGTCCAAGCTTCAGATGGCTCCTGTGTAAGACTGGACCTTAGTCAGTATAACTTTTTGAAGACTAATTCTGATGCATTAACAATACTCTTACTCTCATTTTTTATACATTTACGAGATATTTTTCTAAGATATTCATATATCTTTGTGTTAATGAACATCTATGGTGTGTCTATTTTTGCATTTAGGCTCTTCCTCAATTTTCATGTACATAAATTGCCTAAAAACGAAGAAACGAGTACATGAAGAGAGTTATGATCTACTGTTCAAGTAAATTCATTTCACAGCAAATTTCTTGTCATCTCGCTTGCATAATTCACAAATTTTGTTCACTAAAATTTGTTGCCACAGTATAACATCTAACTACAAATAGTTTGTTAAAGTAAGCATACATTAAATTACTACTTCATGTGTAATACTTAAAAGCACAATAGATTTCTCCCTTATGAGATTTGTTTAGAAAAATTGCAAGCTCCAACATGTACATTATAATAAACTGCGCATGTAGCTTTTCTAGGGCTACTACCGGTTACAAGCACGGCTAAAGAAAAAGAGTTGGGTATGGGCTCAGCAACCACATCCCGAAAAAAACAACCTTGCCGAAAAACCCTAACCAACACAAACAATTTAAACTCTGCCTTCCCAGTTGAAGGAAGAATAATGACGCCTCGTGATGATTCCTGAGATTCTTTGGAGGTCACCATTTCGATATACCTTCTAACAACCAGGGTAACAATTTATATAGATACATGGAATGTTTGTACAATGTGGGAGACCGGGAGAACCAATCTAATGGTTACGGAAATGAGAAGATTCAACTTGATGGTGCTCGAAATCAGTGAAACCCATTGGATCCAAGCTGGACAGAAAAGGATAGATTCCAGAGAGATGCAGCTGTACTCTGGTCACTAGGATCAAAAAGACCTCGCACACTCAGGGAGTTGTTCTGTTGCTGTCAAAAGAAGTACAAACTACACTTATGGGATAAGAATTTCATGTATCCAGAATCATCATAGCGACCTTCGAAACAAAGACGGAGGGAATCACAATGAATGTTATCCAATGTTATGCACCAAACAATAATAGCAATGACGACGATAAAGGCCAGTTTCAAAAGAGATTGCAATCAACATGGAGAAGTGCTCAGGAAAAAACCTCACAATCCTGATGGGAGACCTAAACGTCAAAGTCAGAATGGACAACATCGGATATGAAGATATCATGGGACAACATGGATTGTCTGGGAGAAGGGAACGAGAATGGTAACAGATTTGCAAATTTGTGTGCGTTCAACAAAATGATTATAGGTGGCACAATATTCGCTCACAAACGCATACACAAAGCTAGATGGATCTCATCAGATCACATTACAGAGAATCAGATTGATCGTATCTGCATCATTAAAAAATTCAGAAGGTCGATGGAAGGCATGAGAACCAGAAGTAGAGGTGACATAGCTTCAGATCACCACCAGCTGGTGGTTGCCAAGATGAAGCTGAAGCTAAAGAAACACTGGACAACTGGAGAAACAGCATTACGAAGGTCCAATACAACCTTCCTTCGAGATACTGACAAACTCAAGGAATTCAAGATAGCTCTCAACAACAGATTCAACGCCACAAGATCTGCTCAGAGAAGAAGCTACTATAGAGTAAAACTTGAAAGGGGTCAAAGAAGCACTATCCCTAACATGTCAGAAGGCTCTGGGACGCAACGAGTATCATCATAAGGAATGGATCTCTATGGAACCCTTGATAAGATTAGAGAAATGAGGAACAAGAAGGCGACAACTAACAACAGTCGAACAAGAACCGAAACAATGAAGGCACGAATTGGATACACTGATGCAAAAAAGTCAATGAAGGGGAGTATTAGAGCTAACAAGTGGAAGTACGTGGAGGAGTTGTAATGACAGCAGACATTGCTGCAAGAGAAGAAAATATGAAACAACTATATGACACAATGAAGAAACTACCGAAGAAATAAAGTAAACAAGAGAGAGACCTGTCAAAGACAAAGAAGCAAGACAATCACTGAGATTCAAAAACAGAGGAACAGATGGGTGGAACACTTTAAAGAACTCTGGAATAGACCAGCTCGATTGAATCTACCGGACATCGAAGAAGCACCTACAGAATTTCCTATAGATGTCACCCCACCAACGATCAAATAAGTCAAGATGGCCATCAGACAAATCAAGAGTGAGAAAGCAGCTGGACCTGACAATATACTGTGGTGTGGTCTACTTATATCCATATAAGTAGTATATGGTGTGGGTCAGACATAGAATGTATTTTCGCAGAAGACCGATGAGGAAAGAACTGAAATGAAACGCAAACGTCTGGAAAATGCATGAGCAATGGAATAAGAGAAGAAACAGTGCAGATTGAAACAATTGGTTGTTAATTTGCAAATTGAATGTTCATTGTTTGGTTATCAGAATTTATTGAGATAGTCTGTAATGTTTACTTAAATACATTCGATTGTCCCCAACTAGTGTTCTGTTGACTACAATACCAGCCAAAGCACTAAAGTCAGACATAGAAGTAACTGCAAACATGCTTCACACTCTATTTAGGAAGATTTGAGAGGAAGAACAAGTGCCGCATAAAGACTGAAAAAAGGACACTTCATCAAGATACCGAAGAAAGGAGATCTGAGCAAATGTGGGAACTACAGAGGCATCGCACTACTGTCAGTACCAGGAAACCTTTTCAAGTGTTGCTGAAATGGATGAAAGACGCAGTAGATGTCCAGCTTCGAAATCAACAGACCGGATTCCGTAAGGATCAGTCGTACATAGACCGAATCGCTATATTATGGATCATCATTGAACAATCAATTGAATGGAACTCGTCACTATACAACAACTTTCTTGATCATGAGAAAACATTTGACAGTGTGGATAGAAAAACATAATGGAAACTTCTTCGATATTATGGTGTTCATGATAAGAGCATTATCGTCATCTGGAATTCATTGGACAAACTACAATGCAGAGTGGTGCATGGAGGACAGCTGAGAGATGCATCCCAAGTGAGGACCGGAATCAGACAAGGCTGCTTAGTCTTCCGTTTTCTCATTCTTTTGGTGGTCGACTGGATTATGAAGACCTCCACATCTGAGGGAAAGCACGTAATACAACGAGCAGCTTGGAATCACTTAGAAGATTAGGACTTCTCAAACGAACTGACCCTTCTATCTGATACACATAAACAAATGCAGGTCAAGACAACCACTGTAGCAGAAGCCTGTGCATCAGTAGGCCTCAGTATACACAAAGGGAAAAGCAAGATCCGCAGATACAACACAACATGCACCAATCACATCGCACTTGACGGAGGAGCTTTTGAGGACATAAAACCTTTACATATCTGGGCAGCATCATTGATGAACACGGTGAATCTGATGCAGACGTAAAGGCGAGAATTAGCAAAGCGATGGCCGCATTCCTACGATTGAAGAACATATGGAACTCAGAACAACTGTCAACCAATATCAAAGTGGGAATATTCGATAAGAACGTCAAGACAGTTCTACTGTACGGTGCTTAAAATTGGAGAACCACTACAACCATCGTCAAAATAGTACAAGTACTTATAGTCGATTGTCTACGCAAGATACTGAATGTCCGTTGGCCGGATACCATCAGCAACAGCTTACTGTGTGAGAGAACAAACCAACTTCCAGCTGAAGAGGAAATTAGAAGATGATGGAGGTGGATAGGACACAGATTGAAGTGATCACCAGACTGCATCACGCATCACGAGGCAAGCGGTAACTTGAAATCCTGAAGGGAAACAGTGAAGAAGAAGGCCGAAGAATACATTGCACCGATAATTGAAAGCAGACATGTAAAGGATGAATAGCAACTGGAAAGGATATCTAGGGACAGAGTTGAATGCTGATGGGCGGCCTATTCTGCTCCATGAGGACTAACAGGCGTAAGTAAGTACCTGATGAAAGTTGTATTTAAATTTTATTCAGGTTTTTCTGAAAAAGTATCCACGAGCAAAGTAATGATTAGTTTGATGATTATTAAAAATCCAAAGGTAACTCATTATGATCTGGTAATAGGACTCGTTCACAATTCAAACACTTTCTAACTCTCGAACCAACCAGTAATGGGACAGTAAGAAGCTTTAGGATTTATTGGAAGCTTTATGCTAGAGGTTATGCACAGACAAATTTATGTGAGTGGTAAACTTCGCCAGGTTAATAATTCCTTCATTCATAACACTACGGTCACAGTTGCATTTTCCAAACACCATGAAACCTTAAAATATCAAATAATCTGCATGAGATCGTTTGACTGATTAATGTTCAACAGCTTTTTTCATATGATTTGGGAATCCTTCAGTGGTAAAAACTGAGAACTCAAATTAACTCTGGATAGGATATAGGTGTCGTATTTACATTGGCTTCCTATGAGTAACATTTGGACTAGTTATCTGTTTAATCAAAACTAATCAATCAGTTATTATCATTTGATAATACAGAAAATTTCCAATAAAATTCGATATTATGTAATCTAAAAAAAATAAAACAACCGTTTGATCCTTTTTTATTTCTAGGGTTTGGTCGATTTATACTAAAAATTCCTTAGTGAAATAATAAGAATTTACCAATCTATTCAAGTATAAATCCACTACTGATTTTTTCCCCAGATTCCGCCGTTTTTTAATTTCCTACTGATCAATATTAATGTAGTGAAAAATGAAGTACCCTTGTAACGATTGGAAAATGTTTTATCGCAAATATTCTGTTTGTAGTTTATATAAAATTAGTTATACTAGAATTTACTCAGTTAGTAACTTTATTTTATTTTGTCTACAAATTTTCAACTACTTATTTATTTCTTTGCTACAAGAATGGATGATTATTTTTTAAAAAACAAATATTCTATTTATATTGTCATATTTACAAATATATTAATACATTAAAACGATTGTTCAGTAGTATACATATTCATGGTCGCCTTTGTTATAAAAGCCAGGAATTGCTTGAACTAAGTAAATGTGCGGACAGTTGTCTGAATTTATGTGTATAATGTGACCGATTGATGATTACTGATAAAAACCTAAATCTTATTACAAATTTCTCAATAAACAGAGATCAACAACTGGTCATCAAAGAATATAGTCTCATACAACAGAATGATACATTTATAGACAAAGTACTTATTTAAATATTATTTAAGGCAGGAAGGA